CAACTACAGTTTTGCAATTAAAAGTTCTATAATAATGAAGATAAAAAAACAATATTTTAAAAGTTCTTATACATATTTCAGCTGAAGCTATTAATTTCCAATGATAATGAGAATGGGGGATAGGAGGATGAGTAAATTAGAGATGAGTGAATTTAGAATAGACTCGTGCATTAGTTGTGTACCACATAAAAGCAAGGTAAAAATTATTTTTAGTTTTTCATTTTTTAAGAACTTTATTATGTAAATTTGGGGTGTTTTTTTTTTAAAGTTGATACGTGTATCCGTCAGGATACGAGTATCCAAAATTTTAAATTAATTACCAAAATAATGGAAACTTTTAAAAGTTGCAAATACGGCCTGAAAATGTACGGTACGAGTATCCTAGAGTATCGAATACATGAACTTTTCCGATACGCTGATACGGTACCCTAGTGAAGTATATGTGCTTCATAGTCAAGGGTTGAGATTGGATAGTCTGCGTTTGATTTGATTATACATCCGTAAACAATTTAAAATTCTTTAAATGGCCTCCATTCCTTAAAAATTTGTCAAAATTTTCTTTTTTGATTGTCCTATTGATTTTCCATTTCCTCTGCATAAAGAGTTTGTAATTCCAGTTAATTGCATTTTTTCCACTCAATTCTCAATCACATGCATAGTTTGTACTTTATTAATTTCCGTACTGGTTAAACTTGACAAAATTTTAAGGGATAGACAGTAGATTATATTAAAACACGCGCTTATTGATTAAGCTGGTTTTTCACTCGATCGTAGAGTCAACGCCACTGTATAATATGGAGTAATAAATTAAATAGAAATTGTCCTACGTAGGATTAAAATTTTCCTAAAAAAACACAAATAGGACTACTATTTTTTAAATCCCCCAATAGGACTAAACATTGATTTCTTCCCTAAATACTCCTAAGGGTATTAATTCATAATGAAACGTTTTAATTTATAATAAAATCGCAAAAAAATCGTAAAAAATAATAAAAATCGTAAAAATAATAATAAAGTATTTATAAAATCAAAATTAATTTTTTAAATTAATAAAAAATAGTAAAAATACATAAAAAAATAAATAAAGAATGAATACCTTTCCCACCGCCTCGCAGCACCACCACCTCCGTTCTGTGAGAATTCAACCATTTTGTGTAAAAAATGTCACTTTCTTTGAAAATTCTAAGAAAATGGAGTTATTACTCTTCATAATGCCAATATTTTCATTGAATCTGTCATTATTATGGCATTACAAAAAAATTCGGCATTTTTCCTCAGGTGATGGGAGCTGGTGGTGGCAGAGGCGGCGGTGTTTTGTTTTATGTTTTTAATTTTTTATTTTTTTAAATATTTTTTTTTATTTTTTTACGATTTTATTGTTTTTGTACAATTTTATTATTAATTAAAACATTTCAAAAGCTGCAAGGGTATATTTGTCCAAACACACACAAATAGTTCTACTGGGAGAAATTTAAAACATGTAGTAGTATTTGTACTTTTTGGCCATTCTTATCTTATTTAAGTAATTCACTCTAAATTAAAACGTTGTGACCCAGGGGCGGACCTTAGTAGGGACTCAGGGAGCCGCCACCCCTCCCCCATAAGAAATATTTCGGCCCCCATGAATATAAAAAAACCGTACAATTTGATTTATCTGATTTATTATATTATAGAAATAGTAACGTTGAAGACGAGTTTTAGAGCTCGATAAGATCTTTGCAACGAGATAGAGAACGCCTTCAATGGAACAAGACCATTGAATGAATTAACAAAGTTCCCATTTGACCTGAATTAGACCCTTTAGGAGAAACCATTTTGAGCCTGACTGTTCTTTGTTTACCCAATTAATTGACCTCCATAGCCAAATGGCCTGTGTTCTTTACCCGTGAATATCTCTGACTTAGTCTTGATGTTTAGGGAACCAAGGGATTAATTTGCTAAGTTTAGGGAATTTTGTGTAGGAGCCCTTTTTGGCACTGTTCCTATGCCCCAAATGGGGTAAGAGCAGTCACTTTTTAGGAATTTGATACTTTCGAGGATTGCATTGTAGGCATGGATTCACTTTTAAATTAATGAACTTTAATTGTTATTTCTCCTTGGTGAGGCCGAGATTAGAATGGGGTAATGTCTAGTGAGAATCCGAAAGGTGAAAAATTAATATAGCTAGACCTCTTGCCTTGCGAAAAAGAGAATGGGAGCCCCGATCAAAAAGCGTAAGATGAGACTTGGGTATCTTTCGAAAGAAACAGCGTTCTCGTGCCAACATGACAAGGAAAACTAAACTATAATTAATGAACTTGGAGGCTGGCTCAAAATTTAGCTTTAGTCCTCCGCGTACTTCAAGTATACGTCAAAGCACAAATGTGCCGAGACGGTTTAGCTTAGTTGTACACCATGTCTACTCTTTGCATAGGTTTAAATGATTGTTCCTAAATTGTAGCCTACTGAGTTCCTTGTTCCTAAGAATAGCCCTGAAGTTCCTGAATGCATTGAATCTTTGTTAGAATAATCCAATCTCTCAAAAGAAAGGGACTATTATTGTTACCATTCACCATTCACCACCGCCTTCACAAGTCCTTCTGATCGGTAGCTAGTTTATTAGAGCTTGTTGTCACTACTTTGAGGATGTTGTGAATAATTTTGTCAAATATTTTAGCTAGAGTACAAAGATGTAGTTTAGGGAAGATTTTTCTTGGTTTAGTTTGTCTGTTCTGTGAATATCCCTTTAACTACATGTGCATGCTAATTGTTTTGATTCCGTGTGGTGATTATCGTAAGTCCCGTTGTTCGATTTGCTTGAGGACAATCAAAAGCTTAAGTGTGGGGGAATATGATAAGTCCGTATTTAGACACGCAATTGATGCGTGTTGAGATCGGATTTTGATGGTTTTCCTAGCTTTAAGGTGTTACAAGTCTCAATTTCAGCTCAAGTTATGTTTACCAGGCGTTGGTTCGAGTTTTGTGTCATTTAGAGTCAAAATCAGAAATTTAGAGTTCGGCACCGGCGCTTGAGGAACAATCGGGATGATTTGAGAAGCATTTGAGATTGATTTGAGAGCTTTGGAGGTCAGTGGGAGGTTCACGATGAAGGTTTGATGACAAAAGAGCTCTAGGATTGGCTTCGGGATAAAAAAAAAAGATGAATGAAGCTTGAAAACGACGATCAGGATGACCTTCTGTCAATCGTTCAAGCATATCTCTTTGTAGAAACCACCAATGGACACGATTCAAAGTCCATATGAAATATACATTCAAGGGCTACAAATCATATGAAGACACCTTTTGCGAGAATCTAATAGGAAGAAGGTGAAAACAGACGATGAAGTCAGGTGATCTCTGCTGCGATTTCAGAATGACACATTCCACCGTTTTGATCATATCTCTTGATTGGATGATTCAAATCACATTCGGAAAATTGGGGTGGATAGATGACTTCATTATCTACAACTTTCATGAAGAAATCATAGCCAAATTCGGAAGTGAAGTAGGCACGATCGTGCCCTCAAAGTCAGGCACGATCGTGCGTGAAGAGAAAGCATCGCGGAGTTACTGCCAGCCAGGCACGATCGTGCCTGGAGGGAGGCACGATCGTGCCTGCCTAAAATGCGCGTTTTTTCTCTGGAGGCACGATCGTGCCCGGGATCGTGCCTGCCTCCGGAAATCCCAATTCAGCTCAAATTTCACCCGATGTTTCTATTTAAACAGCTTGTAAACCCTCGTTTTAAGGGGGAGCTTAGAGAGAGTGCCTAGCACGAATTTTAGAGGGCTTTTCAGCCTTGTTCATCAATCTTTTGGGATTCTTTGTAAGTTTCCACCTTTTTAATTAATGACAATTAATTCTTTTTATTCCAATTCTATTGATTCTTCAATTATGAATTGTGAGTAGTTTTAATTAGGGATTTGGGATTGATGAAGGGGTTGATCATGATGTATGACTAGATTCCTTTCAGTTTAATTGCATGAATGCCTTTTAATTTGTGTTTGAATAATTTAACTGATATCTCTTGTAACCTAGACTGCAGCTAGAATTACAATTGCATGTCGAATAAATTAAGAGAGTTCTAATTTGTTCTAGGACACATTCACACACACTTAATCGTTCGCTAAGAGATTAGTAGCGATTAAGGGGCCGTAAGCTCGCTCGTCTTGGCAATAATTTAGGATCATATCGCATGAGAGATCAGCCTGGTCCCCTAAATTATTGTACTCTACGCCGCGAGAGCGGTAAGAACTTAGTAATGATTAGCTGAGCTCAATTAAATTAATTTCATGTAATTAAGCCTGATCTGCCAGAAATTTGATTACCCTGGAATCAATCCTTGTTCCCTTTGTCATTAATTAGAAAGAACCCCTAGTTTAATTGTTTTGTTCGCATTAGTTTTATTTTCCAAACCAACCAATCTCGCACGACGCATTTATTTTATTTATTTTTATCGCTGAATTTAATTAATTCTTGATTCCCTTTTGTCTGTCCCTGTGGAGAGGATACGCGTACTTACACCACTATATTACAATCTTTTTAAGTGCGAGAAAACACACATCAGTTATATTCGTGTAGATCAAATTCTACACGAGTTAGGAGTGAAATCTGAAATGTTTGCGAATTTATGGTTAATTTGTACCTTTTACTTAATGCATTGTAAATGAAGTTGGAACATTAGCTTTAGAACTCAAAATTATCTTTCCAACGAGATATAATACACTCTAAACAGAAGAACATACAACAAGATATGAGTGTCACAAATTAGCATGACACTAATTTTAGATGGACAAGATATAATACGCTCATCTCTGTGATTTAGCGTTTCAGCCTAAACAGAGCACTTTTAGCGTAAATACCGTCTTGTTTTAGAAATTAGGCAATTATCCCTTGATATTTTGCAGCTGTACAATTTGTTCAAAAATATTAGCGTTGTACTATTTTGCAGCTATGCTATTTGTAGAGATTAATTAATTACATTTGAAGAGTTAATTTGCATATAATTAAGTATCCAAGTAACTAACAAACACAAATTTGTAATACGAGAAGCTATTAACTAGCTAGGATGCATATACGTGATAAGAGAACAATATGTACAAAAAAATGGATCCAGAAAATTACTTTTAGATTCATTTGATCTAATTTGGAATTTGAGTGACAGTTATCAAATATCTCCTTGTTTAGCTCCTCAGCCTAAACTTAAGAGGACATTTGAGAAAAGTAAATAAATGCATCAAGAAAATGAAATGAATCTCACAAGATAGCAGTTCTACCCCCCAGGCTCCGGCGAATCAAGTTTGAAATTTACTGCAGTGAGCTGAGTTTGATGAAAGGGAAAAGCTACAACACAGCCCATACTAATATCGGAAATTGTCCTAAATAGGACTAATGAGTTCCTTAAAAGCACAAATAGGACTACTACTTTTTAAATTCCCTAAATAGGACTAAACATTGATTTTCTACCCTAAATACCCCTAAGAGTATTAATTCCTAATGAAATGCTTTAATTCATAATAAAATCATAAAAAAACGTAAAAAATATTTAAAAAACGTAAAAAAATTATAAAAATTTATAAAAAATTTATAAAATAAAAAATTTAATTTTTTATTTTTTTAATTTTTTTTAAAAAATAATAAAAAATAGTAAAAACCCATAAAAAAATGAAAAAAATTATGGATACCTTTCCCACCGCCTCCTGCCGCCTCCCACCACCACCACCTCCGATTGGTGAAATTTCTTCCACTTTTGGTAAAAAAATGCCATCTTTTTCTGAAAATGCCAAAAAGATGGCATAATTACTCTTCAATATGCCAACATTTTCATTGAATATGCCATCATTATGGCATAATTTAAAATGTTGGCATATTTTTCTCCGGTGATGGGAGCTAGTGGTGCTGGGGGTGGCAGGGGTGGTAATGTTTTTTTTTTTAATTTTACGATTTTTTTTATTTTTTTTAATTTTTTAAAAAAAAAAATTTATTTTTTTAAAAAAATATTTTTATTAATTTTCTATTATTTTTTTATGATTTTTAGTATTTTTTTCGATTTTTATTATTATTTTTATGATTTTATTATTAATTAAAACATTTCACAAGTTACAAGGGTATATTTGTCCAAACACACATAAATAGTCCTATTTAGGGAATTTAAAAAATGTAGTCCTATTTGTGCAATTTTGCCACTTTTTAGTCCTATTTAGGGAATTCACTCTACTAATATAATGAGAAAGTGACGAACGAGTAAACCATCAAAAGTTATCAAACAAGTCAACCCTCAGTCCCTCGGCCAATTTATCTAAATAAAAGTATCTGTTTGCAGAGCCTTTGCTAGTTGCAAGTTTAGATGGTTGTGCTTCCGTTGGAAATCCCTGCAATACGAGAACAAGACAACCAATTAGGAAAGAATATGGTTTTAGGTAAAATTAGTATCAGGAATAAATATGAATCTCGAGAATTGTGTACTGACCTTTTCTATGACATATAGTAGAGCATACCTTCATTTCACATATTATATCATATTCTGTCGGTACATAATACATATAGTAGGTACAGTTTGGGATCGAGATGGTACGAGAATGTCAATACTAGTGTGGTAAAATCTTCTTGTTAAGTTTTTCTATCTGTTTAACACAGCTGTTGACTGTGAACAAATTAATATTCCCCTTCCTTAAAAAGGAACAAAAAATTCTAGAATTCTCAAATAAGGCATATCAAAATAGGAAAAGAATCAAAATCCAAAAATATATTACCAGAAACCCCTTGTGACATACAATTGGCAAAGGGAACGGGTACAAATATACCCCTGTAGTATGAGTGTGAGAACGAATATACTCATGTTCTATTTTTCTAAACAAATATACTCCTGAAGTATGTGTGGAAGTGCATATGTACCCCTAAACTTTTAAAATGTGCAAAAATACTCTTTATATTCATATAAAAGAGCAAATTTAACCTTATTGACTTTAAATTGATAATATAAACTTCAAAAAACACCAATAAATTATAAATTAGAAAATAAAAAAATAAAAAATATACTTGTGTCCAATTCTCCCTTTTATTGTTTTATATCACAATTTAATATTGTTAGTATAAAATATTATTTCAAAACTTTATTATATATTTAAGATTCTTTCGAAAAAGTGTTAAAATATGTGTTGCAATGTAAAAAAATATTAATTTTTTTCATTCTTTGCACTATAAAATTACATATTTTGGATGATGATAAATAGTCCAAGATTATAATATAGTGAATCTAATTTTATTAAGGTTAAACAAAATCAAAGAATGTTATTTTAGAAAATGTTACGTGTACAAAATTCCGTAACAAGACTAAAACTAAAATTAATGAATTTGAAGTGATTCATTTACAACGAAAAAAATAATAATTTTGCAATTGAAAATTAAAGAGTGAATATTTTAACCTAATAATAAATATTAATTTTTAAATTTCGAATTTATAATTTATTTTTGGTATTTTTTTTATATTTATTTTATTTATCTAAAGTCAATAGGGGTATTTTTGCTACCCCATACTTTATAACATGAGGGGTACTTTTGCATTTTTCAAAAGTTTTACATGAGGGGTATATATGTACTTCAACATATACTTTAGGGGTTTATTTGTTCCGAAAAATAGAACATGGGTGTATTTGTTCTCACACCCATACTAGAGGGGTATATTTGTACATTTTCCCATTGACAAATGACAATTCAGCCGCATAAACACCCATCCAAAAATTTGATTAACAAGAACCGAAAGGCAATAGAAATCATGTCATAAAAAACTGAAAAAACATGGTATATGAAAAAGGGGATACCGGAAGAAGGTGCGCTGGAAGTGAATAGGAGAACGGATTGAGAACAAAGTGGTATTGGCTTAGAAAGTCTAGATCAATCGGGAAGCCAAACTCGCCTAGTACCGATTGCAGCACTAACTGAGAAGTCATACATTGCCTCGGAATCCTTCAACTTTGTTGTCGATTTGATTTCTACTGTCCCCTCCCTTGTATCTCACAGAGAGCACAATTCCTCTTTGGGGAAACAGCTATCTAGCATTTCCTTTTTATGTTTTATTACTAATAAAACGTTAAAACCTTTTCATTAGCGTCCACAGAAATAGCATCTACTAATACTTATTGTAAGATTCTTTTGCTTTCACATTTGGGCGTAAAAAATTTATACGCAAATAACACTTTTATCATATTGCCATTAACAATGGCAATAAGGTCACTTATTGTTGTACGTACTATCATTAGTTGAAACGTGGTATTTGTTGCCATCATAATGACTCTAGGGTCTCTAGGTAACATGTTACTTTAGAAAACTGTTTTTTCTACTTTGGAATACTGTTTTTCTATTTTAGAAGTGGTGAAGAAGCTGACCCCAAACTCTTTTGGGACTAAGGCTTGGAATCTTGGATGTTGTTGTTGTAGAGTGGTGAAGAAAATGTGTTGACATTTCTAAATCTGAAAAACAGAATTAGTAAACATGTTTTCAGTTTTCCATAAAAACAGAAAGCTTCATTATTAGTAAGCAGCCACTTAGTGTTATGGAAATATAGTTGATAGTGATCAGGTTAATACTTAATAAGCCACAAAACGGGTTTTACTGAAATCACTAATTAAAAAAAGGCATTAATGTTAAAACAAAATATATAAATATGTTAAAAGTGAATTTAAAAGGATGATATAATCAAACACAATTTCCTGGATGACATTCATCAATCATCATATTCACTTAAGCCACATGCAACGGTCTTCTTGTCATGATTTTCAAACTATTTCACACTGCAAACAGGATTAAGATTCTCACCACTGGGCTTAAACAGGCCAGAAGAAGAAACTGGTATATTTCCTTTTAGTCTCCATGTTCAGGCAAGGTAACCGGAGGTCACAAAAAGCTCGAGAAGGATCACTCATGAGTTGCCAAAAAAGATTGACATCTGAATAGAGTTTTTTTCAACGCAGAAGACTTCTGACATGTTATAAAAGGGCTCAACTTTAGCCCCAAAATACCATATGAGCAACAATTAACCCCAAAAAACCTAATCATAGTGCAGAAAAGAAATTAGGGTTGAGGCAATATCTAATCTGCTATGGCTGCAATAACCAACTTACCAACCGCTCGCTCACCTCGCTGCGGAGACCTGGTAGCGGCCGCTCGGCTATTCCACACTACTGCGCATGATTGACAATACTTGTTAAAGTTAGGTGATGATGATGATGATGATGATAGTAATAATAATAGAAATGCATCTCATTGCCATTCTCACCAATAAGTATTGAAACAATTCTATAAGTTGGTGATGCAGCTCCAAAGAACAAGTTGGTAACCAAGAATTAATCTTATCACTCTCAAAGATAAAATTAATGGGAGAATGTGGCGGTTTGTATTATCAGAACAAAATGGGAACCCTCCAAAACCTTCCCAGCCCCACCCAAAAATCAAACGGGCAGCCTCTTATGACGTGCCCGTTCTGCCTCCATTATACAAGTGAAGTAAAAATCAAACAATGAGTCGTAGCTCAGGATGAATCTTTCTACAACAACTTAACAAGGCATTTGTTAGTGAATAGGGTGGTTTGTTCTTCTCCTTACTCTAGTCTTCATCATCTCAGCCCATCTTGAAAATAGATTTGATATCTCAAACTTCCCATGGATTTTCATCCTCTGAGATAACTCCTCCAATATATCTGGATTACCAGCTCGGCTAAAATCAGCCACAAATTTATTGTAGTCAAGTTGTGGAGCTCTCATTCCTTTCCCTATCATTTCCTCCAAGTATTCACAGGCCTCAGTTGACCGACCCTCCCTTATAAGCCCACCAATGAAAACAGTATAAGTGTTCACATCGGGACAACACCCCTTTAACCTCATCTCCTCCCAGACTGCAAACCCAAGGTCATGATTCTTTGTCATAAAGAAACATTTCATCAGCATGTTATATGTGTGAATTGTAGGTTGAAGCCCGTTTTGGATCATCTTCTTATATACCCTCACTGCGTCATCTGGCATTCGCCGGTTTGTCATCAATTTGATCAACGCATTGTATAATTGGGCATCAGGCGGACACCCGTTCTCACGCATCTCCGTCAACAACCCATAGACTTTGTCCATCTTCTTTATATTGCCAAACCCCGTGATCAAACATGTGTAGATCGCAACATCGGGTCCACATCCCGTACTTAGCATTTCATCGAAGTAATTGATCGCCTCGTCCATATTCCTATGTTTGCAAAGGTATCTTATCAAAATTGTGTAGGTTTTTGCATTAGGGGGTGGGCCCTTTGACTTCATGACCTCAAAGAGTTTAATTGCATCGGACCTTTTGTTACCCCTCAATAACCCTTCTAGCATTATACTATGTGTAACGATATCGGGCTTGAAACCCTTGTCTACCATCTCATTCCATACCTTCCCAGCCTCCATCAAGTTCTTGACCGTACACCAACCGTTGAGCAATACTGTGTATGTCTGCAAGTTCGGTGTGAACCTATGCTCCAACTTCTCAAATAAAACATGGGCTTCCTTTGCAAGCTTCGCCCTTCCCAAAGCATCAAGCAAGCAATTGATGGTCTCAACTCCTGCTTCAAACTTGTACTTTTTCATCAATTCAAAAATCCCGACAGCTTTCTTCCTCTCTTTTGCAGCGGCAAATGTCCTCATTGCGATCACAAAGGTTTCCATAGTGAGTAAGCCCTTCTCACCCATTTCTTCAAGAACTGAAAGCATAGTCTCAAACTGCCTATTCTTTCCGAGTATTGCCATCAGTGAATTATACGTTTTCGAATCATGAGCATACCCTGGCCTCTGGGAAGCCCAACAGAAGAACCGAAAAGCAGGTCTTCTGGCATGTTTGAACCTCTCCAACACACCTGTGACCAAATCATGGGTCAAACTAATCCCACATTGATCCAAAACCGCCTCCATGTTTCGGTCTAGTGAGAACAATTCATCAATCACCTTACACACCCTATCAACCTCACTTGGGTTTTGTCCCTTTTCATTTTCACTTCCATCCTCATCAGAATTATTTAACTCGGATTCAGAATCTGCGCTACTACAAAACCCTCTGTACTTCAGATCCATAAATTTCACTATTGGACTAAAATGGATAGAATTATACGATTCTGAGGCACTTTCATAATCAAATGGAACTTTATAATGATTGTAATAGATACAACTGCGATTACCGATATAAATCAGGTGATAAAGAGGCCGGGCAAGCAGCATGTAAGATACATGTCTTCCTATACCGGAAGTCTGTCTACTGCGGGCGAAGACGCGGACAAGTTTATCATCACTCTCAGCCCACGAAAATGAGAGGCGTACAGCTGTAAGCGTCTGTTGAAGCTTTCTCAGAGAAAGGGCCATTTGAAATACATTAAATCTGGAGAAAAAGCCATTTTTCAAGATTGAACAAAGAACACATGACTTAATTGGAACAACAAAACTAAAAAGAATGCTTCTATTTCTCAAACAGATTAACTTGAGAAATTATAAAACAAGTACTACGTACTACTCTTTGGATAAATTATAAAACAATTTACATCAAAAGATTTTACATAATCTTGCAATTCCAAATTGAAATTATTTTATGGGAATAACACAGAAAAGAATATCTATGACTTAATTTGATGGGTCAAGTTCAAAAATCACATTGAAACTTCCATAACTCGTTAAATCTTTGCATTCTCTTGTCGCAATTTGTGTTCACACATATTCAAAGCCTTTTCCTTGTGTTAACTTTTTTTTGTACAAATGCATATGAAGTAATTCATAAATCCAAACCTAATTCAAATACGTAATAAATAAATATCATTGCCTTTAAGAAGAGAGGATAAAATTGTGTGATATTCCTCTCAGTTTTAGAAGAATTGGAGAAACTCATGGAAGAATACTAAACCGCTGATGAAAGTTTAGAAGCTGAAATTGAAGGTAGAAAATCAAGCTTGAAGGAGTAGATGAAATCCACCAGCCAAACTCGAGGAAGAGTTGTCTTCTTTGATTGCTTCAGGTAGCGTGGGTCTGTGCCAAACTCGGCCGGCGACTGCTCGCGACTCGTCGGTGGCCATTCCTTTTTAACAATCCAACAACTCGGCCCGTCTTATTTTTCTAACACACTATGTTGATTGGTCTAAAGTCTAAACTTGGATTTGCTAGAGAGAAAACTCTCAAATAGGGTCCCTACTCTTACCAATTCCTCAATTAAGTCCTCACACCCTCAAATCACTCAATTAAACTATTGTACTCTTAAAAAAGACCCAATCGGGCTTTTTTGCCGATTACCAGCAGGTTTGCCCGTTAACAGCAGACCTAGAATCGATTGAACGATTAACAAGCGTATTCGTCGATCGATTCTAGTAATAATTAATATATGAAACAAAACTAGTTGATCCTTTAAGTAATGTTCAAAATATTAATATGAAATATGAATATGAATTAATTAATACTCAAGGAAGAATATTAAAGAAGATGAATCCTACTATAGTTAATATCAAGATGTTAACTAATTGTCATCTTAGTAACACTCTCCAATATTAACGTAGAGGAAGAAATAACTATTACTATAACTAATGTCAAGATATTAACTAATTGTCATCTTAGTAACACTCCCCAACATTGATATAGAAATAGTATTTAAAAGAAGAATTAATATTCAAGAAAGAAGATTAAAGAGAATAACTCACAACTTACAAATTCATTAAGCTTCAAAGTAGCAAAACCAAGATGGAAGAGTTTAGCTCCTCATTTGAAGACTAAACATGATAGAAAATATAAAGAAAACACTAATTTAAACTGAGCTAAAGAGTATATGTGAATTGGTGATTTTATTGTGAAGGAAAGGAGTGTATTTATAGGCTTTTGGGAGTTGCAGGGTCTGATACCCGATCGGGTATATAGGATATCTGATCGGGTATCTTGGGAAATTGCCCAGAGTCACTTTTGTGGGCATACCCGATCGGGTATGTGACAAATCTGCACGGAGATTTGCTCCCACGATCATTTGTCCCCGGATTTGATTTGGACAATCGAATTAAGCGAATACCCGACCGCGTACATGAGTATTTTTTCCAAATCAAAATCTTTCTTGTCTCCTTGCACTTTCCTTGATCTTTTAAGGTCCAATCTTGATCCCTTGGATGATCTTTGACCTGTTTAGCTTAGAATAATCCTAATCTAAACAAATTACAAATAAAAATGAAAATAAAATATTACACCAAAAGTGTGTAATTTCCACAACTAGAACTAATAAAAACTAATTAAACATACAAACATACAATCGGAAATTACACGAATATCAACTATATTAAGATCTGAGATACTCCTCATATGAGGTTGACCTTTTAGGATGAGCCTATGAGAGCCAGTATGGTTGTGGGATTTCGGAGGGAAGGGAAGGAAGGATTGATTTTTTATTTTATTAATTTATCTGAATTTTTTGTTTTAAGCTTCAAATAACTATATAATTAGTTAAACCATGTATTTTTATATACTATTTTGTCTTCACTTTATTTGAATTTTTTTAAATGGAAAAAGTGTTTTAAATTTAAATATGACTCCTCCCCTTCCCTTCCCTCCGAAATCCTCCAACCATACTGGCCCCGAGTCTTAACATGCTATCAGGGCCAAATTGATTCATGATGTGGGTCCTCTAATAATAAATGATTGACACGATTATTAAAAAATGATGATAACAAATCGATGAAAAAAATGAATGATATCACAATCCAGACGAAATGTTTGGTCGTGAGGAGGGGTGTTCCACACGGATACTTGTGCAACAAAGAAACAGTCAATTACTATATAATAGCAAAAGAAGTCTTACAGAGGAAGTTCCGCCAATGAATAGTTAATTCTAGAACTTGATGTGGTGAGTTTTCCAGGAGTAACTTCTTAATTAATTTATAAATGAGACATTCATATAAAATACATAGTAAATCGTGCAACGAATAATGCAAAGAAGTATGGCAACAAAATTAATAAAAGCCATCGATGAACTAACACTAGAATTATCCAGAATCCTTGATCACAGTAAAAGGCACATTTAAATTGAAAAGACAGATAATATTTCCAAAAAGTTATATCATATTCCTTTCATTAGCGCACTATATATACCGTAGCTCTATGCTTCGTGAGCAACCACAAAGCCAAGACTTTTCCTTTATACCACTTGCTACTCCCTTTAAAGAAGAATATCCAGCACACGCTGCACAGCCATTTGAGTCATTTAGAGGTCGTTATTTATATTTTTTAGATATAGTTGAATCAAATAAAGGAGGGGTTGATGGAAGAAGACAACCTGATTTTTTTGAATTGATTGGTTTTTGTTGGTGGTACCATTATGTGAAGGAGAGAGTGAAAGAGAGAGCGGCAGCCGGCGGGGAAGATGTTGCGGCTTTTCAGATAACTTTTACTCCGTTACTAATGGCCAAAATTTCTAGATCAAGATAACTTTTAGGAAAAATTCACACTAATAATCCCACCTATTTCCGGTCTTCCATTATTAATCCCTCCCATGCGTAATTCTAGATTAATACGTATTATTGGGGCAACCTTCCACAAACATTCCCAGTGCATTGGCAACCGGGTGAACTGGTAAAACTTAAAATTGGCTACCTAACAACGGTCTCACTATTAGGTCAAATTGAAGACAAACGTTAGGGATGAAAGTTGTGGCCATTACAGACTAAGGAACGAAGAGGGGTTGAAGAAAGGTTATACGTCCACGGAAAGAAGAATGGTAAATTGCTTTTACTATTATCATGTCTTCGTTTTTTGTCTTTGTTGCTTTGGTTGTACAGTTGTGTTTGATGTTAATTTGTGTTCTTGGAACTGAGTGTGTTCGTGGGTACTGTTTTCTAGGGTTTACTTGTTAAACTAAATTTCATTCTGATATTGTTTTGACTGATATTGGTCTTACGTTTTTGTCTGATTTTCACTTTTAGGGTTTAGGGGAAACTCAGGTTAAACTGCGTATATGGCATGGGGGAGTATTTAAGAAGGACAGTACGGGTAGACTACAATACGTGGGAGGTAATTTCAGAATTTTTGATGTAGATGCAGACGAACTATGTTGGTTTTGGTTAGAAGAGCTAGCTAAGAAATGTGGGGATTATTGTACTATTGATGCCATTTACTACATGCTACCTAATCTAAGCTATGAAGAGGGATTGAGAAGGGCATATCATGATGATCAAGTGAGGGATATGATAGATGTAGTCTTAAAGACCAAATGTGTTGACTGTTATGTCATTCATGGAATTGATGTGCCTGATTTAATTGAAGCAATTGAATATGTGGGACAAAGTGAATGTGCAGAGATAATGTCATCCAATCAGAAGAAGAAACTTAGTCCTAGGGGAGGATCTAAGGTGAAGGGTATTGTTAGAGATGAAGAAACTGGTGCAGACCTAAATACTGACAAACAAGCTAATGTGGGTACTTCACAACCTCTGACCACTGATCCAGACCCATTTAAGTTTCATGTGGGTACTTCACAACCTCAGACCACTGCTTCAGATCCATTTCAGACTGACAGGCCCCACAGCCCATTTACATGGGATGATGAAGAAGACTCAGATGATCCAGAGTATATGCCTGCAAGTGAAGAAGGTGACATAAATGGTGACAATTCTGATTTCCAAGGTCATACTTCAGAAGAGGAAGATCTAGAGAACATACAAGAGGGTCTGGTTGGTTCAGATCATGATACTAGTGATGAAGAGTATCAAAAGGTTAGGGGTCAAGTTAAGGGGTGGAATGCCAAGATATTAGGGATTGCAGCTGCTCTTCAAAAAGAAGCTGGTGAGGGTAAACTGCCAGGGCAAAATCAGAGATCAAGTAAGCCAAGGGTCCAAGAAGATATAGAGGAAGACTCTGCCTATATTAGTGACTATGAAGACACAGAAGAGGAAACTTTAACACCAGATGAAGATGAAGAACAATATGAACTGAAAAAAAAAAGAGGGAAAGGATTCCAGTTGTTAATGAACATACCGACTACAAAATACTTGAGTGGAGAGTAGGAACCAAATTTGAGAGTAGAGAGAAATTTAGAGATGCTGTGGTTAGATTTGCAGTAGCTCAAGGCAGAAATCTGATGTTCAGTGTTAGTGATAAGAAAAGGCAACAAAGGTTAGGTGCAATATGTGTACCCGGGTGTCCCTTCAGGATATATGCTAGCTGGGACAGTAGTACAGGGTGTTTTGTGGTAAAATCAGTTGTAGGGGAGCACAGGTGTCTAAGAAACATGGAATCAAACAAACAAATGAAATCTTCATGGGTTGCTAAGCAATTTCTGGAAGTTTTTAAATCAAGACCCCATTGGCCAGCTAAGGAAATCATTGAAACCATACGCAGAGCATATAGAGTGGTTGTTAAGAGGAACTTTGTTTACAAAGTTAAGTACATTGCCCATAGGAAATTGCATGGTACTATGAAGGACCACTACAACAAACTTGGGAGGTATCTTGAGGCCTTGTCACATGCCAGTCCTACCAGCCATTTCCATCTTCAAGTCAATCCTGAATTAAGAGTGTTTCCACCAGTTTTTCAGAGACTTTTTGTGTGTTTTGATGGTGTTAAGCAAGGCTGGCTAGAAGGGTGTAGAAAGGTGTTGTGTGTTGATGGGTGTTTCTTGAAAACTTTTTTGGGTGGAGTCTTACTTTCAGCTGTTGGAAGAGACGCAAATGAGCAAATGTATCCCCTTGCCTGGGCTGTGGTTGAAGGGGAAAATAATGATAGCTGGGAATGGTTCTTCATTCACCTAAATAGAGCAATAGGTGAAACAGATGGTTCTGACCTTACTATAATCTCTGATGAACACCGGGTAATTTTCTTTCCCTTTTACTATTTGATGAGTGTGTTTTATTGTAATTTTGTATGATTTAGTGACTATGTTGTTTATAAGATGGATCTGAGGTTACACAATCCCCTTTAGTAGTGGTTCTGAGATTACATTGTCCCTTTTATTTGTGGTTCTGACCTTACAATTTCCCTTTTACTATAATTTACTGACTATGTTGTTTGTAAGATGCTTCTGAGCTTACATTGTTCATTGGTTGATAGGCCATTTTGAATGGAGTTCAGAAAGTGCTTCCTAGAGCAGAACACAGACACTGTGCCAGGCACATCTATGCCAACTGGCACAAAAACCATAAAGGGGATGAGCTTAAGATGGTTTTC